GGCCTGCGCCCTCGGCCCAGGAGAAGCGGTGAATGGCCCGCGGCGCCCTCCCGACCGCTCGCTGACCTCCCCAGAGTCTGGGGCTGCGAACCCCGCTTCGCCTTTGCTGCATCGGACTCAGCCTTTCGGATCTGTAGGATCCGGGACTCCAGTGACCGACCACAGGGCAGGGCTCGCAGCCCACACGCGCCGCAGTACCCAGCCCGATGCGCACGTTCCCTGTGGGCACCCCTGGGAGCGTCCCCTGGTGCCAGGCTGGCGCGCTGGCCTCTGAGGAGGTGGCTTCTGCTCTAGGCACCTGGGCAGCACGTCTGAGTGGGCGCCCACGGGGCGGAGGCTGTTAGACGCATCTGGTGCTGCACCGAGGAGGCCTGACATTGGCCATCGACGTCCCCCCAGCCTGTGGCCAAGCCCCTACCCCCATGGGTGCTGCCTCCGGGTGGTTCCTCCGACGAGAGCCCTGAGCTGATAGCGCCCATTCGTCTCGCAGGCCTGCCAAGCCTCCAGCTTCCTTCAGCACGAAGAATGAGAGCGTTCCGGAGGGGACAGGCCACTGTACTTGCAGGGGTGGGTCCCTGTCTCTCAAGCCCTCCAACCGCCCATACCTCCCTCCCTCCCGGTCTCCCCAGCCTCCATCGGCCACCCCATTTCCTCGACAGTTGGATTCAAGGCTGGTGTCTGCCTTGTAGTGGGGACCCAGCCACCAGGCGCCAGAGCAGCCAGACCCCGGGGTCCAGCAGCTACTGGAGGACAAGGAGCAGGTGCTGTCCTTTCCGCAGGAGACAGGGTACAGGCGACCTGGCGTCCTGGTTGCCTGGACACCCTGTGGCCGAAGGACTGGGAAACAGAGGGCCTGTGCCGAGCCTTGCAGAGAGGGCATGGCCTTCGTTTTCTCCAGCCCTCCCCAAAATGTAGACATTTGCTGAGTACCTATGGGCACCAGCTCTTATCACCTGGGGGTGCTGGCTGGCAAGTCTGCTGGCTGCCCTCCAGCCAGAGCCGAGCCCCTTCTGGCATCCTCAAATGCACAGAAGACAGCCAGAGAGGCAGGGTCCTGGGCAGCACCTTCCCAGCCCGAAACTCCACACGAGCACTTAGATATGCAGTGCACACCTGGCTCTCTGCACACACCTGGTTCTCAACAGATACCTGGCTCTCAGTGCACACGTGGTTCTGCAGTGCACACCTGGTTCTCTGGATACCTAGTTCTCAGTGCACACCTCTCAGTGCACACCTGACTCCTCAATGCACACCTGGTTCTCAGCGCATACCCAGCTCTGTGGTGTAAACCAGGCTTGACAGCCTCTGTGGGCCCACGCCTGCCTCTGCAGGTGCACACCTGGCTCTTTGACCAGGAGTCTCCAGTTTTCCTGCATGCAGGAAGCCCCTTGCCATACCTGCCTCCCCCAGCTCCAGCCATCAGGACCCTTAAGGGATGCTGGATGGGAGCCCTGGCTCCACACAGACGTTCACTCTAGGCCTGCTGGGCAGTGCACGGCCGCGTCGGGAAGAATCCCTCTCACCCCAGGCACCTGCCTCGGGCACGGTGGCCACAGGAGAGGGCTGCTGACTGCCTCCTAAACCTTCCCACACTGGAAGCACAGTCCCAGCCAGTCTCCAGCAGCAAACAACGTGACTTCCACTGGATTTGGAAAACCTGAGCTGCCTCAAATGACGTTTCCGGGAAGCCCAGGAGTGACAGCCACCTATGGACAGAGCTGGGTGGCAAGGGGCAGGCCAGCACTCAGTAGACCCAGCCGGACCAGGGCCCCCTTGTGGAGCGAACGCCACTCGCTGGTCATCCCCACAGCGTCCCTTGCTCAGAGACAAACTCCAAAGGGCAGGGTGGCCTCGGCCTTCATGTGAGGAGCACGGCCCCGGGTGCTGGGCCTCTGCCAGAGGACACTGGAGGTGCCTGCTCTTCACGGCCCAGGCCACTCACTGCCCCTGCCGGGGGTCCCTGCTGACTCCTCCAGGGCATCCATCTGACCCCGTGCTGTGCAACAGCTAAGCCAGGGCACTCCGTGGAGTCTCCTTAAACTGCAGCCTGAGCTGCTTTCCCTCTGGTGTCATAATGAGCCTGAGCTGCTTTCCCTCTGGTGTCATAATGAGCCTGAGCTGCTTTCCCTCTGGTGTCATAATGCAGCTGTGATTCCCGCTGCCACACGTGGGCCACGGAGGCCGTGGCTGGGAAGTCAGCAGCTTCACTTCTGGCACCACTTCCTCTCTGTCAGGCTGCGGTCAATCTGAAGCCACAAAATGACGTCACTTTCCTGCCTCCTCCGGAAAACAGCTCATCCAGATCTGAGCACCCACTCACGAACTGTGAGATGATATCATTTCCGAGAGCCCCTTTGGCCCCGAGATCCTTGGTCACAGCCTGCACACCTGCCCCACACACTCTGTCCTGCGTCCTGGGCCCCTGTCTTGAGGTTCTGCCCTCCCCGGTGCCCTTGGGCCAAGGGCTCAGTCCCCTGCAGGGTCTCAGGAAGGAACTTCAGGGCCACAAACCTCAGGAGGGTTTCAAAGCCGCCTCCTGAGGCGAAGGCAGCTGAAAGCAGCCGCTTCCCCCTGAGTCAGAAGGCAAGGCCCCTCCCCCTACATGGACGGCCACTGCACAGCCCCCTCCACCCAGTGTCCCTGCAGTGCACAGGCTGAGAGGGCGGCTTCCCAAAGACTGGCCCGGTCAGGTGTGGTCAGCTACTCGGGGCCGCCTGTTCCCAGACCCCTTCTGGAAGCCAGGCCAGGGCTGCCTCTAGGAAGGGGCCATTCCCAGAGAGCAGCCCCTCCGTGCCACAGTGGGCTGGGGAGGGGCCACGGTGGGTGCCAGCCCCCAGGGTCCGCCACTTCCCCACTGTCAGGGGGACTCTTGGTCCTGGATCTGGAGTCCGGGTCATGCTGGGTCATGAAGGTGGCGGCTCAAGCAGTGCTCCTGGAATCAGGAGCAGGGAGACTCAGGTTTCCCAGTCACTGCAGTGACCCCTCAGAGACAGGGCTCCCACAGCACAGATTTCAGCAGGTCCTGCAGCTGGGGCTGGGCAGGAAGTGCTGGGGAAGGGCCTGGCTGAGAAGCCCGAGCCAGCCCAGGCCCAGGCAACTTCCGTCGGGAGCTGTGGCAGCGCCAGACCCCGCTCTGCCACCCCGGGTGGTGACAGCACAGGCCACCGCTCAGCTCCAGGTGCCCCCACACGCTCATGCACACACAAACAGGGCTGCCTGCTACCTGTGAGGAGCCTGCTCTCTCCGGGCACCAAAAGCAGGCGCCAGGCCAGAGACACACCACGGTCAGAAAGGCAGGCATCAGGAGCCAGCAGGCGCTTGGTGCCTGGAGGCCACAGCCCAGACACCCACAGGCAGGGCCGGCTCACCCTCGGGAAGACAGGAGGCCCTCGGCAGGGTTCCCGGGGTGAGCAGGGCCCTGGCGGCCTGAGGCTGGTGGAGCATGTTGAAGCCAGGAACCCTCTCAAGGGAGTGTGGATTCCATCCTGGCTGGAGGAGAGGTTGTCAGGGCAGGGCTGGCCCTTGGGAGGCGCCACAACCCCTGTGCAGGGTACCCCAACTGGGGAGAAGCCACCAGGCCACGCTGGAGTGGGAGCCAGGCCCTCAGCACCAGGTCCCCACAGCATCTGCTGTGCCCACCCCTGTAGGGTGCTGAATCCTGGCCCCTCCCAGCTCTGGGTGAGCGGTGGGCAGGCGCTGCTTCTCTCCATCCTCACCCGGCCTTGCCCTCGGCCAGCAAAGACCCCAGAGGGGAATGAGACCTTTGGGAGCTCCCTGGAATCAGGGGTTCTGAGTGCTTGTGCTGGAACCTTGGGCGGCCAAGACGCCGCTTGACTTCCAAGTCCTGTCCTCCAGCGCCTGCACCTGGTCCTCTCCCTGCCCACGTGGCCAGCTAGAAAGCGTGCGCCCTCCAGTGGGAAGGAGAGCAAGGAGTAAAACGTCCCGCCAGGGAGTGGGGAAGGTCAGGAGATTAGGAGGAATGTCGGGCGGCCGCAGAGATGTAGGAGCACAGGCCCCAGGGTCGGGGGTGGGGAGCCGTGAGGGGCCTGGAGGGAGCAGGGCAGGTGGAGAGGAGCTGTCCCAGGTGGAACTGGCAGGAAAAGCCCGAGGCCTCCCAGAAGGAGCCGGTTTTTAGAATTCCAGGACTCGGGAGGAAACCGCAGGACGGGGGCTCCCTTCGGGGCGGTCAGCGTGTTTCTCAGCGGGGTGGTGGATGTGGGTGCCCCTCACGTCACCTGGCGTTTATTTTTGCATGTGTGAAATACAACAATTTTAAAGGGAAAACACCCTAGGGTGCACACACGTTGTAAAAATGGGAACGGATGGTCCGAAACTCGCTGCTGAATGATGTGCTGTCATGAAATTTACTTCAAAAACTTTCCCTCACACAAAGTACGATCTTGGGTAGATGAAGGAGAAAAAAAGTAAAAATGAATTTTAAAAATCTATTAAAGCTTCTTCTTCTTTTTTTTTTGAGACAGAGTCTTGCTCTGTCGCCCAGGCTGGAGTGCGGTGGCGCGATCTCGGCTCACTGCAAGCTCCGCCTCCCGGGTTCACGCCATTCTCCTGCCTCAGC